CTCTTGCTTCAGCGATGGGTTTCAATAATCTGATGAAAGTGTTCCTTCATCTTCTGTCTCAGACTCTGTGCCATTTTTATTTTTTCCTCCCCGTTTTGTATCGCTGCCAGACGGCTTTCATTTCAGAGCTGATGCGATTCGTGCAGCGTGACATAAAATAACTTTTGCCCATACTGCTTCTGTCAAAGTTCTTTAAACACACAGGATGAATTGGTTTATCTGTTAGCTTTACACAAACAGATGTTCACCGTGTAAGATGAGATAACTCTTTATTGTCATTGCACAGTCATACATAGTACAATAGTACAATGAAATTGGAAAACTGTCCCAAGTCAGCACTACGTACAACAACACGACACGGTAACTTAACTTATTGATAAAATGAAGAATAAGTGTACGTGTATTGCACACTGTTATTATAGCACATTCAGTATTACTGCACCTTCTTATAAATATAAATATTATTATTGTTATTGGTGCCCTGTTGAGGCAGCGCGTGCTGTACAGGTTCTTCTGGGAGAGAAGAGGATGTCCAATGATTTTTTTGGGCCATATTAATGATAAAGGATGGAAACTGTGTATGTATTCAAACAGACTGTATATAGGCTGGGAGTAGTTGCTGTAATTTCAGCCATTGGTTTGTTAAGTCCTGTTATGAAGCACTGACCTGAGACTTTTTCCATCCATCCATCAATTTTCTTTATATGGTGGTTATATGGTTTATATGGTATATTTCTTTTAACAAATCAGTAACCAAAGGAGTCGCCCCCTGCTGGCCATTAGAAAGAATACAGGATTAAAGCACTTTTGCAGTGGCCTAAAATGTTTTATGGATTTATTAGGTTAGTATTACTAGACATTTGTCCTTTTGTGGGATTGCTGTCAGGATGTTGTTCATTAAATAATGAAGCTTAAGTGCTTTTTGGGTGATAATATTTTAATCATTTGATGGTACAATAGAGAGGTTTGAATACAGAAAATCACGCTCGCTGTGTATGCGCGTGTGCTGCAGAGCAGGCAGGTGGTCTGACAGAGGGGAGTTAATCTCTGTCTGGTAAGAGCCTCCTCTGCTCCTCCTCTCTGTCTGCTTTTTCTTTGTTTCTTTAAATATTTCATCAGTCTCTGTCACCCAGCCTGCCCTTTTCTTTCTCTTTATTCTCTCCTTTTCTGGTCTTCCCTTTCACCTCAAATACCTTATTCTCTCTCTTTTAGTTAGCTTTTATCTCTATTTGTCTTTCCCCTCTGGACCTCCAGTGTCATCTTCTGGTTCTCTCTCTAGACTTTTCCTTCACCTTAAATCTGCAGCCCCCTTCTGTTATTCAGGGTGTGAGGCCCAGATCGCATCATTATGCTCCAAAAAGCACGTGGCAGAAACTCCTGGGGGAAAAAGAAAGGCAAGCACAGAGGGAGATTATTAATTTAGACCTTTCTTCTTGGTTTTGGATGACTGACCTTATAAGTGGTGCAGGGTAAAATGTGTCTCTGGTTTGTGTTTGTATGGAAAATATGGCATGCGTTAGTAAGAAGGATAAGCAAAAAGGCTCAGAACTTGTATCTGAAACTATATTAGAATATCTAGGAAATAATATAGAGTGTATCCATAGTAATTACATTACCTGGACGATAGCGCTGCTGCTGATAACAACCTCCTTTTACCCTCCGGAGGGATAGATGGATTCCGGGACACCCACTTCTTCGTGTACTTGTGCTCTGATAAGTGCCCTTGAGCTGTGTTTCAGTGTTTCCTGTCCATGGGCAGCGTGCTCTTTGCATTACAGCTGCTTAATGGGCCTGGCTAAGAGCAACCATTATCTGGGCTTCTGCATCTCCTGTCATTATTCTGAGTGATCCCCTATCATCAAGAAAGCACACTCCAAGAGTCACACAGCACTTGTTGTTACTGAGGCATTGACAGAGATTGATTCAGTGAGTTTCATGATCTGGTTACTATATGCCAAGACTAAAGAAACTGCGAGGTGTTCATCCCTGGGTATTGGCCGTGTAGGAGCCATATGAGTTGTTCCTTTTTTGACTAAGTGGGTTGGTTTAAATGGACTCACTGTATTGGTGCACGGGTGTGGGGCGTGTCTCATGGGTGTGGTAGATGATAAATGTGGTTGCACTCACCTGTTCACAGCACCTGATGTTGATGAGCAGAAAGGTAGGGTGAGCATGAGGCAAAACTTTCTGTTGACCGCAGCTTGAGCGATTTTGATGTATTTTAACTGGAACTTAATGGTTTTTGTATATTTGTGCACTAATTGATGCCATAGACCAAATTGTAAGTTGGCATAGTAGTTAGGGCAGTTCTTTGTGAGTTGCAGTTATTTGTTTGTGCAATCTGTGCATTTGTTTAATAGTTAATCCCATGTGCTGATTTATATATTGGACAGTTGCATGTGGAATAAAAGGAGCAAATGATACAGAAGTGTATTTTATGCGTTTATTGTTGCGCGTCATCTGTCTCCTCGTGTTTAGCCTGCCGCGGCCGTTGGTTGAGCCGCAACAGGCCGAACTTTTAAACGAATGTGCCTGATTTATTCGGTCCTGTCTGATTAGTTACAACAAATATTTCCACAGATATGTTTTTCTCTCTACTGTGGCTTCTTAAGATGTCGTATGTCCACTTTAAAGGCTTTTGAAAGCTGGGGTCTACTGTAGCTTTATATGGTACACACGTGGAGTTTATGTAACAACACCCCACCTCATGGATACACCAGCTACTATTGGCTGAAATGCTGACATGAAAAATGGGAATATTTTGCCCCTTTGCCCAAACCTCGAGTCTTGCTGATGCTTTAATCTGTATTCTTCACTTTCTGAGAAACTCCAGAAATGATATAATAGAAATTAATGAGCAAGATAAATGGGAGCCAGTGAGTTCCAACAGCTCCTGTGACCCTTCTTTTTAACTGATTGAAATTAATGCAGGCTCAAATAAAAGATTAGCTTTCCAACATTCCTGAACAGGCCATCTGGAAAATCTGACAAAAACTCCAGATGGGCCGATTCACTTTAGGCTGCTGGAGCAGGTGTGTTAAATCTATTCTGTTCTGTTTTATTTTATTCCATTTGCCGCTCGCTCACAGCTGCTGTCCTGTGCTGCCTCTGCCCTTCCTTTACTTCTGTAAGTGTTAGGCTTCAAATTAACTTTGCATTCATGACTTCTGTGAAAACAATCAGAGTGCTTGCAGCGCTTTTTCTGGCTGCATCATATATTATAATTCAGTTTTGAGGTCATTTGGCATGTCAGTGTGCTTATAGTATCTTGCAAGTCCATAAAGGAATGAGGGGCTAACCTCTCATTTCTTGACAGCACATATTTTCATTTGGGATTTTGATTCAACTGCTTACTTTGGATCTGTATAGATGATAAAGTTAGGTATTTACATGCATGTAAAAGTGATGAAGAAGTCCTGCACTCATCTTCGGTGACTGTCTTATCGTAGCTCTTGTTGCCATCTGCTCAACAGCAATGCTTGCTACCAGGCAAGACGGGCAACTGCTTGTGTGGGGCCCCGAGGGCTGTCAAACTTTAAAGTACAGCACTGGAAATGTGCGAAATTTGAAGTGACGTTAGACAAGAGCTGACTTCCCTAAGGGGGACCCACTATTCATTGTAAGTGGCACGCATGATTTTATTTAAACAAACCTAATAACAACAATGAAAGCCATCCAAACAAAATGAAGAGGCGTTATCCTTATGGGAGGGAAAAAAGAAAGAAAAGACACAAAAAGGAAAAAAAGCAAGACAGTGGCAAATAGAGCAGATAATAAGGGTTAAATATGATGCTAACTAATTGCTGCTAGTTTAGCCTTAAATGTGGGGGAGAGACACTTGAATAACATAACAATACACTAGCATCACATTATTTCATTTATTTACTTTGATGTTTAACATTAGTTAACTTAGCAGAGCTAAGCTAGAGTCTAGTGTGTCTGAGCTCTGCTGGCTGATGTGACCGATCCGTGAATCTAGAAGCGAGTAGTTACAATATTAACGCTTCATAACCACTCAGCTCACCCTGGGGCATTGTGTCATCTCTGCAATTTCTAGTTTTATCTGTCATTTTATAGGGCTGTGCTTGACCTTGTTGCTGTCAGATTATTCATCAAATATTTGCGATGAAAGCTGGTTAGAGGGGTGCTTGTGAATTTTTGCATAGGCCTCCAACAGACACCAGAATTCTCGCTGCATTGTGTTTGATCAGATCTCTGAAGATGGCTGTTTGGCACTAGCTGCTGTTCTAAGCTGCTGTTTGTGGGAAAAGGGAAAAATGATGTCCTTTTGCATTTAGGTCATTAGATTTTAGGGCTGTGCGATATGACCAAAATCTCATATCCTGATATAAAACATCTATCATCCCGATAACGATATAAATCACAAAAAAATTAATATTTTCTGTAAATTCTGTGAATCTCGGGTAGGTGAAGTGTTTCCAGCTGGGCGTCGTGTACCTGCAGTCGAGTGTTTTAACCGATGAAACTACACATTTTTAGACATAGGTTGTAACGGCCACCGTTTTCTTTGTGAGTATTTAT